GCCGCTGACGTGCCTACTGACCCTGTCATGTGACCCTACTGCCTCCCTACGCTGCCCCTACCGTTCATGCATGCGTACTGCATCTTGCGGTAATTTCTGAGGATGTGCAAATGTCTCTCGCACTCGATATTTTGGGGGTTGGGGAACATGGGACCAGGGTCACCGATGCAAAGGAACTAAATTACTAAACCTGCACACGAACAGACCAATAAGGAGGTCGAGTGCTGACGTTTTTTTGCTGACTGGATATCAGCTGTTTAATTCAAGTATGGCTTTTTGATCCTTCCCATCCCTCATACATATTGTCTCACTTCCTCTTCTCTTAAGCCCAGACCCCGGTTGGGCTTAATTAGGTATTGATTTGATCAGGGCCAGGCGAGAAGGCCTGTTCTAAGAGCTTTAGTCATGCTGCATTATTAATGCTCATGCAGCACTATATATAGCTGAGGTCCAGTGGTCACAGGAGAGCCGAACGTCGGTTTCCATGTTCAGATGGATGGCAATACTTCCTCCAGTGTCGAGTTCCTTTTCCACGGCTCGGAGGGAATTGGAAAGATGCTGTTTCTTGTGCGCGCTTTGATTTGATGAGCGTGCCCTGAATGAATTTCTGAGCAGCTCGGTGGCTCCCAACAGTGTTTTTGTGTTTGTACGGCGTAAGATGTAGTTCCTGCTGGACGTCCCCCGTTGTCCAACGTCCACTCTGAGGTGGATTAATCTATCGTTTGCTGGTCATTTATGAAACCTTCTCCGTATGAAAATAAAAAAGGCCAATGCCTCTGCTTCTGTCTCCATAGTTTACTCTACGTGGTCTCTGTGTCTCGCTCATAGAACAGTGGTTACACACGTAACTTGTTTTTACCGGCCGGTAACGTCAAGCGCACGGCCTGCGTTGTCTTTTTTTCAAATTACATCGGGGGATGGGGGAGGAGGTGAGAGACGTCTGTTTTAGATTTCTCACAGATGGGGGGGGGGGGTCTAGATGACAGATAAGGTACTTCTTCAAAAAAGTAATTTAAGCAATCCTTATAAAAAGTGACTGTTTGTTGAGTTTATGTCTTCTTTTGTATTTAACTTGACGTGTTTTCCCAATTCTATTGAAAGACAATTAAATGAGCGTAAGACAGCAATTTAATCATTAACTCTACCTGTTAAAAGCAACAACAGGGGGGAAGTGACTCTGCTGCACTGATCTGATCAAAAGCACTATTACATGTGCAGCATAAATACCAACAATAACACTATTCTCCTGTGTGTGTATTACACAGCCACAGTCTGTTTTGTTTAAATGACTGTATTTTAGAAACACATTTGTATTCCCCACCCGCACTGCGATTATCCACTCTAGAGAATATGTTTGCGTTGCCCCAAAATTTGTGATTCTTGGATATGTAAATGAACTTCAGTAGTTGTAACACTCGGTGGCTTTGAGTGGAACATGAAAGCAGCTACTGTTTTACTTTCTTTGCTTGCAGATGGTGCACGTTAACATGTTGTTCACATGCAAGTTTGAAGCGCTCCTGCTGTTACTTTCTTTGCCTCAAGGTGGCGTAGGTCTCAAACTGGATGATATTTGATTCATAAACATCAGAAAACCGCAATATAATAAAGAATTTTAGCTTTAAATGACGCAGTTACGAGAAGAATCACGTGTTTGAATACTGAATTAGTCGGGTGTGTGCGAGTGTGTTTATGTAACCAACCCTCCGCTTTATTGTTGAAATCATATTTCGACACCCTCCTTCTGCAGCAGCTCCTCACTCAACAAGGTTTCATTTGTGCCGTTCGTACGTTCACATCACATATTTGAAGTCTGTGCTGCTTTTTTGTCCTCTCTGGTGCAAATGTGGATTAGCTCGATGTCTTGTGATTCCCTCCATGCATGTTTTTGTGTGTGTGAGTCACTTAAGTTTGTGTCACGCTATATATGTATGTATGTATGTATGTATGTATGTATATGTGTGTATGTATATGTATATATATATGCATTTTTGCATAACACACTGACAGAATCCCAGATGTCATAATGTGTGTACGTGCGTGTGTGTCGTCATGTCATGTGTGAACGCTTTTGGGCCCAGAGTGTGTTCACTAACTGACCTACATTTCTGGAGCTTTTTGTTTTGCCCGTGGCTCGGGGAGACTTTGTCGCCGTTATCTCATCTAGCCAATCACATCCCCTAATCTGGTTTTTGTCCAATCGCATCCTCAATCTCATCCGTCCAATCGCAGCCTCGGGGGGGGGGGGGGAGTCATCCTGTACTGTACGGTACGCTGGGGATGCACTTTAAATATGAAAACACTCTCCATCTCGTGGCTCAAATAGCACGGGGGCCCGTGTAACTTTTCTCACGCTGCATCGGCCCTCCCCCCCGCCCTCCAACCCCCCCCCCTACTTAAAAGGAGAGCTGTATTTCTGTGCTGCTGGAAAGTAGGGGCAAAAAAAATGCTTTTGAAAATTCTTTGAAGCTTCCGTTTTTTGTTATCAAAGCTGCCTTTGTTGGCCTTATGAATTTTGCATGTGTGAACTTTGTGATGTGTTAGTGTGTGTGCATGAGGGGGTGGGGGGGGTGCACTAATTTTGGTTGCCTCGTTCATAGGAGGTTTGGGCAAAAGGTCAAAGACGTTGGTGATGAGTTTTACTCGATAGCATTTGAGCTCCTGAACGGACCCCTTAAAGCCCAAATTTGTGCACTATCTGCAATTCCAAAAGAGACCCGACAGGATATGTTTTAAAGGATTTGTAAGTTGCTCAAGCTTCCCCCGGCCAAGCTCAGACAATGTGTGTGTGTGTGTGTGTGTGTGTGTGTGTTGATGTGTCTATCATACCATCACCACATGATAGGTCTTGCTGGAATTCAAGGAATAACACAACTTATCTTGTTTCTGGCTTCGGGCCAACACAAACAGAAGACTAAAGGACTGGTACGGAGGGATTTCACACACACACGCACACACACACACTTAACGTAACAGCAATGTGACTTTGGCTTCTCTGCATGTCCAAGCCCTGAATCAGAGATGCGCTTACTGATTTGAAATGAGCAGATTAACAAAGACTTTTAGACTGAACTGAAATTTACTGAAACAACTCACCTTTCACTAAGTCCCGCCCCCTGGAACTCAGACTGGCCAATCATAGCTTAGCATCGCCCAGCTCCCACCAGGGCCCGACAACAATGTGATGGTTTTAGATTTTCTTTATTTTTGAGGCTGATTTAGTGGATTTGGAGCTCGTCACGTTTAAACGTTGTCTTTCCAAACATTCGATGATATTTATTCAGATAGTGCAGTTAGTGACAGTGTGGGCTCCATGGTAACGTAGCTGCGGGGAGCTTTTCAAAGGGTCGGCAGGTAAAGCGAGAAGCTGCCTCCTTTCTTCGTCCTCGAGTGTTTCTGTCAATATTGTGCTGATGGAGATGTAGCCCGGTGTGTTGACACTCGGATAACAGCAGACTCATTTCACACGAAACACACGACATGTCGGGAACATCTGTAAATCGTGTTCGTACTCAAGAGAAAATTCGAAATACGGGAAAATTGGTGAATGCGGCAAGTTTTCACTCTTTAACGCCACTTAAGGGCAAATATGTTGGTACGAGTGGTGCATGAGGCCCAATGACCCTAAAGATACATTTTATGGGCACATAGTGGAATTTCCCTAAATCCAACTGGTCATGTGTTTTTGTGCTGGTTGTAGTACCAAGATACCAAGTCTCTTGTTTTTAACCCTTTAGAGAGTCCTTCATACCGAATACTGAATATTAATCTAAGTTCTTTGTAACTCGTCTAATTACTTCCTGTCTTCTAAAACTGCAGTATTGTGTATGAAAAGGCTGTGGATTTAAAAACTCTCAAATTAAAGCGGAACGTCAGCGTTTTAACCTCATTGTCGCCGTTTCTTTTCAAACGTAAACCTCGTCCAGACCGTATACGGGACTCATGACTGACCAGATGGTTTCCATCACCGGTCGTCGGGCTGAAACATTTAGAAACACATCTGCAGTCCTCGAAGCCTTGACTCTTCCCACCGGTTGGGTCGAGAGCTGAAGCGGCGTTGCCGTTGCCGTGAGGTCGGCCGTAATGATTTTATAACGGAGAAGTACGTTTCGACTGCGGCTCATCGAGCTAGTTCATTTCAGTGTTCAGTATGTGGCCTGATAAGTGGCTACACTTGAACTATGCATATGTGCTCCGCTGACCTTTCTACTCCGTGTTAAACACACACACACACACACACACACACACACACACACACACAGATGTATGTCTTTGTCTCTGTTGCTCTGGGTCTGCCTCCATTTCCATTTAATGGGGGATGACGTTGGGGGAGGTGGGAGGAGGGTCAGGTTGAAAATTGCAATATGTATTTATGTTTCTCTGTATGCGGTTGCCAAGCAACAGCAGGACGAGGGTATTTACAGTTAATAAAAAAGTGAGTGACATTAGCTTGGTGTGTTAGAGGTAAAGCGCTAATTTTTCTTTGAAGGCTGAGAAGAAAGACGTGTGTGTGTGTGTGCGTGTGCATAATAAGCGCTCACAAAGCCTCCTTGTCGTAGATATTTCGATGTGTTTCTGTGTGTGTGTGTGTGTGTGTGTGTGTGCTCTCACATCATTGTCTTTGTGTGACTTTATTTGTATTTTTGTCTGTTTCTAATACAGAAAAACAATTTTTATTTACGCCCTTCAAATGCAAAACAACTTCAGATTGCAAACTGCTTTGAGCTGCTATGTTCACTTTAGTTTGTTGTAGATTTTTTTAATTGCAGTGGAGGCTGTGCATCAGCAAAATATACCCTACGGGAAACGCACTTTGTCATTTGTGTTCCTAACCCTTCAAAAGATGAAATATTGTCTCAAAAATCCTTTAATATTGCAGTTTGACAGTGTTTTTTTCCTTCTTTCAGGTTTTGTTTTACGTGGTATTAAAGCCGCTGTCACTCGTTGTTTTGATGGTAAACATGTCCGCCTGCATTAACGTCACGTCTCTTCTCTTTTCATAGGCTTTGAAAGCATCTTGGAAGGCTTGTTTGGGCCGGGACTAATCAACGATATCACGCTTTTCCAAGGTAAACATTCTCAAACACACAAACCAACAAATACGCAAACAGCAAATGCAACTTTGAAATAATCGAGAACATAAAATGGATGTTGAAAGATCGACTTATCTTTTAATTATCAAAGATGAATGACTATAAACTGTGGGCATGAATGAAATCAAACCAACAAATCAATAATTCTATCTTTTAAAAGCTGCGTCTGTGGTTAAACTTCATACGGACATGAATCAAAAATGTTTTTGTTAATTACGTCGTTATCTCAAGAAAACAATATTTGTTAAATGGAGACAACAAGAAAATGAATTAATTAGAGATAACATCAGATAACAAACAGCGGTTTCCTCTTATCACTTCAAATGTTTGGGTCAAATCATCCGATGTTGAATGTCTTCAAACGGACGAGATGAGCTGACGGTGATTGACTCGTGACGTGAGCAGAAGGATGTGTGACGACTCACTTTCAGGTATTTTCTGGTTAATCTATTTGGGGCAAAGGTACCGTGTTTTATACTTCCTCTGAATGTAATCCATTCAATCTCGTGGATCCTTCCACTAACTTCACCAAGTCGATCTGTGGCAGCTCATCGGGGCCGTCGGATTATTTGACCCAAACATGTGAAGTTATAACAGAAAAACAATCTTTGTTCTCTCGAAATAATGAAGCACAATAAACACGAATCGTGTTTGTTTCGGGTTTCTACAATGTAATCCTGTGGGAGAGACAGTATGGACATGCAATAAATATCGTAAAATGACAATAAACAGCATCTCTCTCGATCTACTGATCTGTCTCAAGACGTTTATTGCCGTGTAATTTGTCTCAAAGTCATTTTGCAATTCACAGTATTTAATGAACTGTATATAAGTTTGTTATTTAGGCAGCATGGAGCCCGAGAGCCCTGTTTGAAGGAAATAAAGCATGCACTCATATTCCATAATGTACGGTAGAAGTCACCAAAACTGAGAGAGGACTTCCTGCTCTGACTGACACAAATGAAATACGGATGTCATGAGAATAAAGCAAGTGAAGATCAATATCACCTAAACCCCCCAGATCTCTCTCTCTCTCTCTCTCTCTCTCTCTCTCTCTCTCTCTCTCTCTTGTTCTCTCTCTCTTGTTCTCTTTCTCTCTCTCTCTCTTTTCCCACGGAAAAACGAGGTCAACATGGTGTCCTGGAGTCATGTGACCTCTTCCCCACCAACTTACGGCATTTTTAGAATATTTCTGGCTTGTCTACGTCATTTCTTCACTCGTGCATTACGCTTCTACACACACACACACACACACACACACATTCTCTCCCAACAAAGTGCATGTGCAAGTTTACACAAACACACACCAACGTCACTAGATTTCAGGAAGTTAAATAGAATCTAAACATTCACACACTATTTTCCCTCAGAGAGCATTTATCCTCTTGTAAATCCCCGATTAGAGTTTTCCTACATTTCCCAGAATTCCCTGTGGCACTTTGTTTTAATAAAGGGGCCGCAGTTCCTGCTGCAGTTAGTCAGTTCTCATCAAGCATGAAAATTGTCAAATTGTGACCATATTTTCTTCATGGTTTCACAGTAACCCTTGTCGTCCAGTGTTCGTTGGACCTGATTAACTTTGCACAGGTGTTCATCACTCTCTCAGTCCTTCTGTTCAAACGCAGATATTTACAGCTTCACACAATGATGAGGACTGACACACACACACACACACACACACACACACACACACACACACCTCTTAAATCAAAGGTGGAAATAAATTCAGCCGAATAGTCAATTTATTTAAAAAAAGAAAAAAGGGATTCCAGTTGTTTCCAGTTCAGTTTTCAAAAAAGTTAAAGTTTTATCCAGACTTTGGATTTAATTTCATTAGATACATTAATCCCCCCCCCCCCCACACACACACACACTAATCATTGTAATGTAAATCTTTCCACGCTGCTGTCACAGTGTTACTTTCCCTTTAAGTCTTTGTTATACACAAGCTCACAAGATTTTTAAAGAAACCTGGATTGTGGTTCCTGCAGCAGAAATCTTTACTTTAACTCAGTCACCTCGCTAATTAAGTGCATGCAAACACTAGAGTTGTGCAGCCTAAAATGCTGGATCGGGTCGGCGAGTACACGAGTCAATGCACCGATTTGATATCACGTTGTCGTGTTATTGATCAGCTCATTTACGCTGCACAGGAACAACAACAACGCTTGTCACTGCTACCCTGCGTACATTCTGCCCAATCAGCAGGCAGATGTGCAAACTAGTACCACACACCTGTAGTTAAATACTTTTCCCGTATAATGTTACATTGTGAACAACAACTCTGTTGAAATCGTCAGGAGGAGAGCTAGTTGACATTAGCTGTTAGCTGTTAGCCGTTAGCAGCCGGTGGGCAGCCCAGTGCTGCTTGGCTAAATAACGGAGCTAACGGCTAACTTTCTCTCTGGTTGGGTTGAGTTGCATTATCATGCGTTCAAGCGCTGTTCAGTAAAAAAGAGTTTTAGTGGTGAAGGTAAATTATAATGTTATGATGATGTGTTTTTTCAATGCGCGTTCAGGTTTTCGGAATCGGTACCTGGAAAGAAAAAGGTGGTATCAAACCATCTCTTTAAACACATCGACTGTTGAGCAGGAACTCAAAGATTCATGCAAAAGGTGTCGACGTCTTCCTCGAGCTCACGCACACACAAACAGGAACGTGACTATACTGCGAGGGCGGGAGGTCACGTTCGCAGTGGGACTTGAGCTAATTGGCCCCATCCCAGGGACAACCACGGGGTTCAAGCACAGCTCACCCTGCCTTTTTTTTCATTACAGTAGCAGTAGAAGGAGAGAGGGAGTAATAAACTGTCCCTTTTATGTGTTGCACATCTCACAGGAATGTGAGAGAAAGTGGACTGTGATTGGAAAACACTGATGTGTCCTACACTCTATTCAATGCATGAAAGGAAACCATTTATTTCCATTCATCTCTCTATGGAATGAAAATTAGTAAGTAGACTTCATACATGTAATCTCTTTCAGGAAGCACTTTGCACTTTGTTTTACACGGTAATACATGTTAAGATTGATGTGAAAACGTTGCATTATGGAAGTTCACCGCAAAGAAAAAGAGGAAAATAGATAAAGATGCCTTCGCTAAGTCCTAAGGTTGACTGGCTAATCGTAGCTTAGCATCAACCAGCTCCGACTAGGATCCAACAGCTATCCGGTTCTGCTCCAAAGACTCTCATTCAAAACAGTTTCAGTTTGTTGTTCATGTTCAGGCAGGTTCAGTGGGTTTGGAGCTCGTCACGTTTAAACGTTGTGTGACAGTGACGCTCGTTACCCGGAGAGGTTGGAGGGAGATACACGTTTCTTAAACGTTACGTTTCTCCCCAAAAACCCGTGAAGCTAACATTAGCAGAGCACTTTAACTCATCATTAACTAGCATTAGCACTTCTATGCTACGTTAGCAACTGAAGGCATACTGAATTAAAACGCATGCTGCGTTTGCTTTTTATTGATTGTAACGTGGTGAATGAAGAGGAACGGTGTTCCTTAATGTCATTGTCTTCTGTCTCGATCGCCAGGTGATGCAGTGGTTCACTAAGAATGAAACTAGCAAGTTTTACATCGACATTAAGTAGTTTGTTAGCACAGTTAGCTGTGATGTCAAATATAGTCGTGTAAATCTGCGACACGACGTCCTCTGCAAATTAACTCCATATTTCAGCGGATTTTCTGTCGATGTTTGCAGAGATGATTTGTTTTCTTTCTCTTCTTATTTTTTTTTTTGTCCTGTTTTTATTCCCGTTGGTCTTAATTACGTCTCTTCTAGATCAAACACTACGGAGGCTGCAGAGGAACTTTTTAATTACTGCAAATGAATGAATGCGTTTGTTGCATTTTTGGGTGGAACAAGTAACTCAAATCCATTGAAAGGGCAAATCTGGAAAGTTATTGCGAGATTTGGTTCGGAGCATTTGTCTTTGACCGCTTTGTGACTTCAGGTTTTCTTATTTTAACATTTTAAAGTCAAGTAAATGATTGTTAGACGAGCCGCCGTCCACAGGGCTGAAGAAAGTCTTTCAGCTCCAGCTGCTTTTCTAAACTGCCGAAAAAGTGACAGAGATAGGAGGTTCTGATCGGACACAGTATACTGTGACTGTATTCATTTAGCTCTCTCTCTCTCTCTGTGTGTGTCTCTCTCTCTGTCTCTCTCTCTCTCTCTGTCTCTCTCTCTGTCTCTGGAGCTGACTCGGCCTTCCATTCCCCCCACACGTCTGTACTATAACACACTCCTCCTTTCCTTCTCTCCTCTGTTGCTTCGTCTATTTCACTGCATCCCTGTTGTTTCTTCTCTCTCTTCTGTTTTCAGACTGAACCGAGGGCTTTTTAAAGGAAGCGTAGCGCCATGGCAACAGCTCAGCTGTAACCAAGTCGACGGCAGTCTCTCTCTCTCTGTCTCTCTGTCTCTCTCTCTCTCTGTCTCTCTCTCTCTCTCTCTCTCTCTCTCTCTCTCTCTCTCTCTCTCTCTCTGTCTCTCTCTCTCTCTCTCTCTCTGTCTCTCTCTCTCTCTCTCTGTCTCTCTCTCTGTCTCTTTCTCTTTCTCTCTGTCTCTCTCTCTCTCTGTCTCTCTCTCTGTCTCTCTCTCTCTCTCTCTCTCTCAGCTCTGAAGGTGATATATTGGTGAAAAGCTTTTGAATTCTTTGAAGGATGAAGACGCGTGAACCTGACACAGTACTGAGCTGAAATGCTTCTCGGTGAAGCTGAACTGACAGTTGGCATCATCTGAATCAATGACGAGGCCACGAGCACAGATTAATATTGATAAGAGCAACTACTGATGAGCAACAATCCAAAGTGTGTACGTAAAATGTACGGCTGCAGTTTAGGATTATTTTTCTCATCAGTTAAATGTTTGATCTATGAAATGTGATAAATGTCCGTCACATTTTCACAGAGTTCTCGTTGATGTCATGAAATGACAGACGGTCGAAAACCAAAATAAATTCAGTTCTAGTTTCAAAAACAGGAAATCCGAGAGAATATTTGGCCATTTCTGTTCTTAAAAAATGACTCAAAACAATGACTAAAAATACTACATACCAGCCCATGAATTTGATCATCCATTGCATTGACAAATTATTTTGCATTTAAACTTGTATTGCATTCATTACGGCATAACACTGAGGGAGAGGGAGGGAGAGAGAGGATGCTTCATGATGGGCAGCAGATGAACTACCAGGAGACGGCATTGGATTTCTTCATCGCACTGTACATGTTTAACAAAATGCAGGCTTGGAAAGGGGTAATTACTTCTTCACACATAGGGCTTCAGGGCACGGCTGCTTCGCCAACGGGTGCAGTCTTATTTACATGCACTCGATCACACACAGAGAGGCGCTCGTCTTTAGGCAACAACATATCCCATATTCAAATGAGCTCATCTGTCGATCACTGGTTTGGTTAGTTTTTACACGGCTTAGTTGACATATGAAGTTAGTCATCGTTGGGATTTATTAATTGGCGGAAGCAAAAACTACAACCGCACAGGTTTGCTGATGTCTGTGACTGTGTGCATTAAGTTGCGGGATACTGACGGGATTCTTCAGTAGTTTGTTTAACCCGTTGCTTTCTGTCTCCCTCTCTTGTCCAGACTGCGAGCCCGAGGAAGTGTCTGACTGGTCCTTCGATGAAAACTGTCTCTTCTGCTGCCTGAGACGCGAGAAAGTCAAGGTAGGAGACGGCACGACGTTTCATCTCACAGGGTTAAGGTCCAGGGTTCACACGGCTCATTAATGTTAATTAATTAATGCATGTTGGGTATCAGAAGAACTCCGGCCGTTGTGGGTTCACTTTCAGATGTTTGCTGCTCGCAGCTTTCTTGAGAACCGCGTACACAAACACTTCACCTCCTCGTGCCCTGAGAAAACAAAACCTGCCATGACAAAGTTGCATCAACATTTCTATGATATTTAAAAATATATATTTTTGACATACTACACTGTGTATGTGTACAGTTTGTGAAGCCCTCTGAAGCAAATTCATGATCTGTGATTTTGGGTTATACAAAATACATTTTATTGAATTTAAGTGAATTATGACATTTTTAAGCCATTTTTCCGACGTACTATACTATGCTTTTTAAAAAATATATTTTTACGACGTTATGCGACACGACTTTTTTGGATGAGCACGAGAAAGCACAAAGACTCCACGAAGAAGCCGAGTCAGTAACATGAATGTATACAGAGAGGAGGAGACAGGAGAGAGGAGAGAGGAGCTCAGGCTAATCATAAGAAGTCCCACAACAGTCCAGGTCCAAGGCCCACCTGAGCCAGCCCTAAGCATGGTCTTTATGGAAGAGGAAAGTCTGTCTCCCTGGAGAGAGGAGCTTGAGTTGAGCTGAATGCTCTGGCTCCCGTTATCGTGGAGTAAGAGTGAACTATGAGCTCGTTGGGATACGATGCTTTCTGACCGTTGAGGGCCTTGTAGGTGATGAGGAGCATGTTCGTTTCTATTCGGTGTTTAACAGGGAGCCACTGCAGAGAGGCTTACACAGGAGGAATATGATCTCTCTTCTTAGTTTTTGTCAGTACACGTGAGAGTCTTAAGAGACCTATGAGAGCAGCCTGGTAAGAAAGAGTTGCAACAAAAACGAGTCCATGCAATTGTTACTTATGGTCTAGATTACTGCGTTGTTTTGTGTGCCTGATCTCGATGTCCTTAAAGGTTGTTCTGTGTCAGAGTTGAAGGACCCGATCAGAGATAACTCTGATTCTTTAAGGTGTTACTGGAGGCCAGGACAACTATATCATTAAATCACTTGCTCTGGAGGTGTTGAAGGGACAATAACTTCTGTTTGGTCCTTTTTATGGCAATTGAATGCCTCCAGCAGCCTTGGACAGACACGGTATGTTTTTGGGGATTTTCCTTCCGTCCGTCCCATTCTTGTAAAAAGCGACATCTCAGGAATGCCCGGAGGGAAGTTCTTTAATATTTAGCACAATCGTCCACCGGGACAAGAAGGCTGAACTCGGTGGTCAAAGGTCACTGTGACCACACAAAGCACGTTTTCTGCCCTGAGTCATGTGCTAATTATGACAATATCAAACCAATGCCTGATGGGGTAAAATGATGAAGTGATGCGACAGCGAGGCCGTAGGTCTGGTTCACCTTTGGACAGACCCAGGCTAGCAGTCTTTATGCTAAGCTAAGCTATTTGACTCCCTGACATAGTTTCTCATCTTCCTCTCAACAAGGAAGCCAATAAGCATATTTCTAATGTGAGCTTTACAGAAACTAACCGACGGACGTTTCAGCTTTTAAACTACTTCATGATTATTAAACACCGGGTTTAAAATATGAACTGTGCAGCACATTCATCCGAGGCTTGCAATGAATAAATAACCAGCATCTATGAGAAATTAGAGCGACTTTCAATAAAATATAAAGAGAATATGTGGTATGTGCAAAATGTAATAAAGCTGAAAATCATCTTCAGCACTTCCACTATATGAGTGAGAGATTGACAGATTGAGGGGGGGGGGTGTTTCATTCATTTTTAAGTCAAGACAGCAATATAAAACGTGAATCAATGTGTTTCCAGCCCCTGTGTATATCCTGCAGAGTAGAGATGGATTCTGTTCCTGTCTAAGGGTTTCTTTCCTTTGTTCACACTTTGGGTGTTTTTGTCTGCCCGCCTTTTCCCGAACTTTCTGTTGGAAGCTCCTCCTCCTCCTGCATACTTGTTATTTGCGTTGTTCCACCATCATGGTCTTGACCCCAATTTAGCTTATGAAAGGAGAGTGACATAATGATTTGGAGGTGTGTGTGTGTGTGTGTAAGGACGAGGATGGTGACATGGGTGTAAATTAGTGAGACTCCCACAGAAGCAAAGAGGCCGCTGCCTCCTCTCAAGAGTTATAAGAGAATAAGTAGTTTATTAGACAGACTACTGCATACATATCAGAGACATGGGAGTCGTGGTACCTGCTTCTGTGTCTCCTGCTGTAGACAAAGCATCACTCCACACCGTGAAGAACAACAAGAGCTTGACTGTTGGGGGGGGTGTAACAGCAATGTCCCGGCTGTGATTCAAGACGTATATATACTGTATATATATATATATATATTAGTGCTGGGCAAGTTACCGCGTTATTATCGCGTTAACGCATTCATTAATTGATGCCGACAATTATTTTATAGCGCATTAACGCATTTTTTTATTTTGAAAGTCCGTGGAGGAAGTCTTCAGCAGACTACGTTGATGCAGCTTGTGGGAGAAGTTTAGATAAACATAAGCAAGACAAGCGGAGTTACAACGTGCACCAGCTGTTGCTCTGCCTGGAGACTACTGGACATCGCTGCGGTAAAGTCAGCAGATACTTACAGTGTCGTTGATGAAAATAAGGACTTGTTCTGTTTAAATTTGCTTAAAACGTGTGCAAAAGTTTGTTGGAAACTAAACATTTATCTCCTGCTTTGATTCCTTCACTGAGGTCAACAAAACAATCCCAACTCAAGGTCCACTTACTCTCTTGTTCTGGAGCTTTTGATCTCGTCACACGGTCTTCATTTGCTCAGTTGCAACAGTAAAAACATCTTCCATTGCTCAGAGAACATTGTAAGGACTTCTTGTCCATGTTTTCCATCTCCTTTATTTTTGGGATGTGACCGAACAAGTGAATGAGGGAGGGGAAGGAAGTTTAGGAGGGGGCGTCCTTCCCGAGGCGGCGGCTTGTTTTTCAACTTCATCCCAGTCCGACCTCGGAGGTCCGGCCATCTGTCTCCTAAAAACATCCTTGCCTCACCGGCAACCCCCTCCACCCACCCCCAGCTGTCTCCCTCTCTGTCCCCGTGTCCCTGTTTCTGTCGCTCTCTGCTAATAAAGCACAACAACACATCCTCGCTGCTGCAGCACTCGCCGACATCCGACTGGTCGATAATTATGCTCGCCACTCGCGGCGCGTTAATCACAATCAGGCCGAATAATAAGACAAAAATGTTGCAGCAGCCTTAATTGTATTTCCCAATCTTTTATTCTTCTGTTAGGGCTTGAAAGCTCCCTCTGCCTCACAGTTATTACCCTCTGCTTGTGTGTGAACTGCCAGAGGAGCTTCAGTGGGCAGGAATCATTGATTCATTGATCTGAAGCCAGCAGAGAGAGAGAGCTGAGGGGGGGTTTGAAATAAAGAGCGGATGGAATAGTGAAATCCTCAAACACACTCGTCTCAGTTTGCTGCTTTGTCTTTTACGACTTAGGCAAACGGACGCAGACATCCTCAAACTCCCTGTTCAGTGTCGTAAAGACACGACGTCACACTAACCGTGGTGTTGATCCCGTCATACTCAGAGGCTGAATTAGCGGATGTTTTATTTTTCTTATAAAAATCTCTGATTGGCAGAGCGTCAGGCTCGAGACCTTGGACATCCTGAGGAAGCCATTTCATTTGCCGTCAGCGTGAAGAGCTCCACCTCCAACAATGGTGCCTCAGTAGAGAATTTAGTAAGAGTAGAGACCAGACCAGGAATTCATAACAAACTCTGCTGGAGAAACGAGCTCCAGATCCACAAAAAACAGCCTGAAAATGAAGAAAATCGGACACCGATGCATGAGAGTCTGTGGACCACAACCTGATGCTACGCTATGATTGGCCAGTCTGCAGTCAAGGGGCGGGACTCAGGGAAGGATCAGTTAAATGACATCAATTTGTATGAAAATTGAAAAACACAAACAATTATGTAGCGCTGAAACAATGGATCAATTAATTGATTAGACAATGGAAAGAAAATGACATCACCATTAAAATTACCAATATTGTGTACATCAAATGTACATGTTAATCAATAATTATATTAATTGTAGGTATTGCAAATATAAAATATAAAACATTTATAAACATATTCTAATAAATCTAATAGACCAGAGTGTCTCCACATTCGCCTTTTCTCAACTGTTAGAATAAAGAAAACTAAACACTCTGTGCACCAATTCACCTCGAGTACAATCTACCAACTTCAAGCCAAAAGGATGGAGGCGTCTGCATCCACCTGCAGGTCGGTTATATACAGTCACAGTAAAAACACAACAACTGAGCGGTTTAATGTTTTGACAGAACAGGCTGTTACTCACTCGTTTGTCTCGGTGTGCTTGTCTGTGCAGGAGCACGGCGCAGAGAAGGGTGGAGGCAGCCAGGTGCTGTCGGAGCCGTCTCGGATCTGCCGGCTGGAGAGACAGGCCCAAGACTTCCTCAATGCTGTGTTCCACAGGAAAGGTAACACACACACACACACACACACCTCATCAGTCATTTCATTACTCATTTTCACTTCCCTCTGGTCATTAATATCTGGAACATTTTAGAATTTCCAGAGGTGCGTTTGATACAAGTCAAGTCGGGCAATTTGGTTAAAACTCAGGGGAAATCAGTCGATATGAGGGGATTTCACAAAAACCTGAGATTCTCTATAAAGGGAATATAATACCGGAGTGTATTATATATCTAACACATTTATTGCAATTAATTATTTTCGATCTCATTTGGAGTTGAAACCAGATTTACAGATGTTTGGTTTTTTAGAACATTTTTAGCCCCCGAAGGCGCTCCGTGATGGAAGTGATGGAACAATTATGTAATTATGGAAGTGACCACAGCGGTAATAGTGCTTTTTGTTGTGATACATTGGCCAATATATTTAAAAAAAAACCCTGTTTAATCACCTATTCATGTCCAATACAACCAATCACTATTGATGTCAAATGGTCTTGTCTTCCTTTTGATTTATAAAATCAAAGAAAGAGTAAACTTCTGTTCTCCTTCTGATTCACTGTGTTTAGTGTGTGTGTGTGTGTGTGTGTGTGTGTGTGTGTGTGTGTGTGTGTGCATCGCGCACTAGTGCTTCATCAGGAAGGACACCAGTCTGTTGGAGAATGACGTGTGAAATGGTGCCTCATCTGCATAACTGTGACAGTTTGGATTGAAAGGGGCCCGGGGATGGACTCCTGAGGGACACCGTACGGAAGCTTTTTTCCCAAGTTTTACAATTGGAACAAAGACATTTCTGCCCTCCAGGTAGACCCTAAACCAGGGAAGATCTGGGCCAGAGAGGCCGACCCACTTTACCGACCTGTACTAACGAGGTCACCGTTACAATGAGGGAAACTCTGCAGAAGGTTATTTTACATCGGAGAGAGACGATTACCGAGAAGCTGGTGCTGAATTTGAGAGGGTGGAAGTTATATCACCGCCGACGTACAGACCGAACCAAACTGAGAGCTCAACTTTCCAGCTTTTATGCGGGTATTACTTAAACCAAGGAGGTGTAGTGCAAGCGGGTTGTTTTGTGCACACTTTACAGGCTCTATTGAGGAATGTGATGTAGAAATCCCTCTGATGGCTGATTGGTTCTCGACCTGATACCCGTCACTCCTGTGGAAACATTGCTTTAACTACCTCTTATCAAGCAACGCTTCTATTTGAATGAATGTGTCTTTGTTTGTGTTGTAAATTTGTCTGACGGACTTTGAGTCCGGCAATAAAAGAATGAACTGGACTGAACTGTAGGACTATCTCACAGTCACATGAGGAGTGCAGCCTTAATGTCGAGGGCCAAATATAAAGCTGCACCTTGATCGACGCAAACTCACAGCAACCTTGAACCCTTCAGGAGACGCTTCCAGAAACATTTACATTAGTTTCAGCGGAGGATGTAGTTTGTGGTGCTATTGAACTACATTACATTATACAGAGAGATGTTTCTGGTGTTTATTATAACAAGTAACAGTTCATTACCCATAGTGGACTAAATATCTTTCTTGGTTGACCAAACTGCTGAGTGAACTACTACCTAAAATAAACGAGAGTCCTGGTTTCACATTCAAAAGTGATGATGAGGGGCTTTAACGTTCCTATCTGGTGCTTGTATTAACATGCGCCGTCAGCTTCGGTGCAGGTTTCAAATCAGCACCGCTTCAAAGTCAGAATATTTGCAGAGTTTCCGTAATATTCCCCCTCCGCACGGGGAGTGTATCATGTTGTGTCCCGAGGCAGAGAGCTACTCTGTGACAGAGGAGCGCTGAGCCCACCAGACGGAAGCTGGTGTCTGTCCAATCAACGCTCGGCTTCAAATCAATCTGGCTTCACTCACGCAGGCGAAGCTGCCCGTGGAGCTGCCGTATATAGACCGATAAACGCTCACACAGGCCTAGGCATGATGGGATGGGACGAACGGACACACACACACACGGCCATTATTACAGCAACATACCTGCCAGGCACACAAACACAACAAAACAAGTGCACATTCATCAACATGAAGGAATACTTCTGCTGTAATTTAAATTCTTAAGGGGAGACACTCAAGACAAATAAAATGCATTTCATGCATCATTTTTTACATATATCTATATCTGTAGACATAGATATATATACTTTTTTTTTTGGACAGAAGAGGTCCTGGACTACTCAAGGAAAGGTTTCTGAAAAATAAATAAAAGATTCAGCTGCCAAGATCACTCTGCTTTGTCGTAGCGAGGCGAGACCTCCGGCGCACAAAGCTGTAGTGTTACACAACGAGCCATTTCCTAGTTAACGCAGCACACACACACACACACACACACACACACACACTCACTGCACGCTGGGGTTTCCCCGGGAGGATTCCCAAAGTGGCAGCATGAATCCTACATCTGTCGAAATGGAGCTTTATAATTAGGGCACATTTCCAGCAGACTAACCCTCTTCCTGTTCTGTTTTTTTATCATTTAAGGCCCGTTGGATTGAGGCATAGTGGGCAAAAAAGGCCACATGGTGGATATGATTAATGTAACTTAACAGGCCTTTGACACAACACAACAGAGTGTCAGCGCACAGGTTAAGCTCTTTTATTTACCATGTCGGCGAGATCATTTCGGTGGCGGGGATTACACAGTGCGATGTTCAGGTGGAGCACAGAAGTCAAACAACGCTAACAAGGGATTAAACTATCACTCGCACACAACGAACGGCAACAACACCTCCGTACTGCGTCTGCGGCGCGGCTTTACAGGCACCGCTTGATGCTGGAGGAGAACGTCAGAGCTCAAACACAACCGACGTAAACGTCTTTGTGGTTCGGTAGCTTGCGTATTCACATGAATTTGAGGTTTTGTTTAAACGGATTTTTGTTCGTTCATAGTTTTCTCACCTCTTTTTATGTCGTTGCAGCCGACCGCATGGCAAGTTTGACATAAAACTGGTTTTATCTTCTAAGAAGCGCAGTAGATTGTTGTAGACGTGCCGTCATTTCTGTAAAACATCATTTTTTGGTGTTCACTGTCAATGGCGGTTTTAATCCTCTGTAAAAACATCATATTGATATGACAACATTGTTTATTGGAGCAACACGTACTGGTGTTATAACTATGTTTTAAAGTTATTATTTAAAGTCAATTATTTTGTTGTTATCACTTTTCAAAACAAAGTTGCATGTTTAACACAAGAAGAAGAGTTTAGAGATAAACTAGAGGATTGAATAGGAGACCAGCCAACAAAGATAAGAAATAGTAAATTAAAAAGTTGAAGCGGACGCTGCCAGACACAGCGCTTCATTAAGAAGTCACCTTTAGTCTTGAGCCCACACTTCACCACAGCCTCAGGCTGCTGTTGGCCCTCCAGAGTCAAAAGTTCAGAACTCTAGATAATCAGTTGTTTTCCACACATTTACTTTACTGCTCCTGTAGTTGGAGCGAACACAATGTGAAGGAAACAGCAATGAAATCCCCACAACCGTTACAGAGGAGCTGAGCAAAACTGGGCCATAAATTCGGATAAGTCGAGACGTGGTGCAGATTTAAAAACAGGAAGCATGCTGGGAAAGCATACGTGTAAGGCGTGGCTGAAGATAGCAGCATGCACCTGCTGTACTCTGACATTACGGTGCCTCGAGCTCGCTCAATAGGGAGGATTAAGTGCTGCATGTAGAGTTTATATACACTGCAGGATATATGGGATGTTTTGGGGATTATTTCAGCATAGCTTTCAGGATTAGATTGTTTGGGGGCTAATGTATTGTTTGGAGGATTTAGGGTTTGACTTATTGGCACGCATGAACGTATCCCAATAGTAGAGCTGCTGGTGATGAAGAGATACGTGCAGATGATTTATCTGGGACAATGGCAGATTAATGCATTAATAACATGAGTGTTGTCATTGCCGCTGTTTGTATTATGTATATTAGTGAAGAGTGTTTGATGTGGGCTTGTGTTGTCGCAGCGGGGGATCATTCGGTTGTCTTCTGGCACTTGTTGCACTTTGAAATAGTTCTTTAATTTATGTTTCACTGCAATGACTGCTTGATATTTTACCAATGGAAGAGGCAAAATGCTCCGATGAATGATCAAATCTGAAATTCCAAAGAATCGGACAAGTAGGGGCCGGTTCCCAACAGGATTCGATTCTCAGTTCCCATCCATAAATGCTGTATAGTACGACGTGATATGATGCAATACTACCTGATACAGTAGTACAAATGTACTTTACAGCTAGTATTAAGTCTAGTAATCACCGTCTCTTAACCCACTGGTGTGGAATTTACTGCAGAATAAAACCTGCTGGTGCACTACTGTAGGGCAAGCTGACAATTAGCTCTTAATCTTTCAATTATAATTTCAGTCTTTATACATTTCAGGTAATTGTTAAGATGGCCATTACAACTTCCCAGAAGTCCAGGGCAACGTCGTCAAACTACTCCTTTTGTACGACAGTCCAAAAGACAAAGAGTCTGAATCTACGCTGATATTAAACAGAGAAGAAGAAGCCAAAGCTAGAAACACAAGAGTATCTGTCATCTATGTTTGATCAATAATAACTCAGTTATGACAATGGTTGGTGATTCATTTGGTTAATGGATTGAGTGTGTTTTCAGCACTACTGTACTTGTTATGAAAACTACGATGTCCGTCCTCATGTGTGCATATTCTAACAAACACCACGGTTGAAGAACAAATCACCGCTGAACCTTCAGGCGTAAATTGATCCGACAGACAATTTCTAGTCCTTTCACAGTAAGAGTGGAAACAACAGAGAATCCTGGGAAAATGTAGGGAGACGGTATGAAAAGCTCCAGCAGAGGGGTGGCAGGCGAGGGGGCCACTGTGGCTAAGTGGAGAGCAGGGCCGTCCTTCCATCAGTGGATCGGCGGTTCGATACCCCGGCTCCAGCTCGGCTATACTCGCATGTCGATGTGTCCTTGAGCAAGGACGCTTGGCCCAAAAATGTCTCCCGTAGCTGTAGAAATGTGATAGAATCTGAATTGCCGCTTTGGATAAAAGCGTCCGCTAAATGACTGTAATGTAATGTATGTAATATCATGGCGCTCTCACTGTGGTCAATAAGCAGGAGTAAGTGGTGCTTCTGAGTGATATTAGGATTATTTCAACATAGCATCGGGATTACATTTCCAGGATGAAATAAGACGATGAACATGGCAATGACTCAGGGACTTCCTCTGTGTTTTGTTTTCCTCCAGACGTCCCAAGTTTCTCAGAACCTCACATTCCTCTAGTGGCTCGTGAGATCATGCAGCGAATGATCCGCCAGTTCGCTGCCGAATATACCTCAAAAACTACTCAGGACGACTCGCCCCTGCCCAACGGCACCATGAAGGACCAAAGCCTGCCGAGAGCGGCGTCTCTGGCCGCGGCCCCGTGCTCCCCGCCCGGGCCCCCGGTCGCGCCAAGCTCCCCTCAATCGTCTGCCTCCTCCTCCTCCCTGTCCCCGGGGCCCGGCCTCAGCCCCGTCTCCGCCGCTGCTGCCACCTCAGCACCCGCCTGCACCCAGAGCAGCAACGGCGTGGGAGCCAGTAACGGCGGAGGAGGAGGAGGTACGCCCGCTGCCTCTGCACAGAATCCCGTCCTCAGCAAGCTTCTCATGAGCGACCAGGACGGCCCGCTGGACCTCTCCGTCAAAAAGAGCGAGGCCGACCCAGACCCCAGCCAGCAGGGTGAGAGCAACCACACACACACACACACACACACACACACACACACACACACACACATTCAGGGGTTCGTCACTTATGAGGACATCATGTTGACTTCATGTTAACTCCCGTCAGACAGATGACTGCACTCACAGATTCTCTTTCCACACAGAGACTCAACACATTCTCACTCGTCTCATGAACAGATCGCTGAAAAGCTGTCGTTCATTTTGAGCCTTCGCAGCGCTGAGCTCTGAAATGTAGCCGTGGGCTCAATCTAGGTTTAATCAAACATAACCAGCAGGGGGTCCGACTCTCCGTCCACCGAACAGGCTGCAGGGTTGAAGCGATGAACCGCTCGCTGTTTTAACCCTCAACTGCAGTGTGACCCTCTTTTAATACCAGCTTTTGGGAATGTGCTTACAGTAAGCCTCCTTAATTAAAAATAATTAAAAAAAAAGATTTAGGCACGTAGATCCACCTCATGCCTACTCACGTTATCTCTGTCTCACACACATGAACACCTTTTAGATGAATTCTGACACGGAGGAAGTGAATTTTATGAAGTGTTTGAGAAACACTTTTTTTTTTTTTTTTAAGACGTCAAATATCAGAATCAGAATTAGCTTTATTGGTCGTGTATGTGTTCGCATACAAGGAATTTGACTCCGGTTTCACATTGCTGTCAATGTACATGAGCAGAACAAATAAAAACAAGGACAACAAAGTAGAACAGAAGTGTAAACATTTAACTACTATGTACAATATAAATATATATATATATATATATATTAGTGCTGGGCAACGATTAAAATATTTAATCGAAGGTTCAGTCTCCTAAAACACCTGGAGTGTATTGAAACGGCTCTCTGGTACTGAAGGGAAAAGTCCAGAAATACACGGAGGATGTGTACCGAGGTGTCCGTGGAAATCATGTCAGAATCAGAGTCGGAGCGGAGTATAAATGAGGCTGATGATGTAATGATGATGTAATGATGATGCATCTTTTCTACGTGTGGTGACCCGATTCCCCCGACAAACATATTCACAAATAAAGTGTGATTTCACACACAGCATGTCGCCATATTTCCCAGACTTCCTTGCTGAAGTGTCACAGACAGTCCACCTGTTCTGGAGCACACAGAATATGCACATTTTTTGCATTTTTCTTTTTGGTCATCTAAGCACAGAAATAAGAAAATTAATTCAGTCTGTTTTCACATAAATAAGCAGCTGCAGACGCTTTTAACATTAGATGTGCAATCAGATCCACGGCATTCTGCCTCATATATATATATATATATATATATATATATATATAAAACACACATGATTATCAGAAATATGCTTCTCCTCTGCTTCCTTCCTTCGTCTTCACCGATTAGAGTGTTGTAGTAAAAGGTAAATAAATATAAAAACAGCTATCTTACCTCCCTTTGCTAATTCATTAATTGAAAGACAAAATTAACATATATCCAGATTAAGATTTAAGCTTCAAACCACAAATCATACAAGTTGTCCTGTTTCCTTCAAATAAGAACCTTCTCCAAAATCAAACCGATCCTCATTTTGTCCTCACGCTGACCTGGTGAAAGTCATTCATGCGTTCATCTTCTCCAGACTCGACGACTGTGACTTCCTCCTCTCCGGCATCAGCCAACATCTTACTCATCACTTGTAAAGCACGCCTGAGTGCTGGCCCCCAAAATATATATATATAGAAGAAATGTAGACCACCTTACATGTTACATTGTGTAAAGATGGCATTGACCTGCCATCTTTACCTTAACTCTACGTGATCACTGATAAAAGAATAAAAAGCTCACTCACAAAGTCATGTAAATATGGAATACATCGACTAGCATCGGCTTAATACTAGAAGAAGAAAGAAAGAATCGTGAATCATTTTGTTAAAGTTAATTAACAGATTCAATTTGTGACTGTATTGATACAACCGCAGCTTCTCTGCCATTTAAAGGAAGATGGAATAAAATATTCATAACTATGTCTTCATTAGCATATAATTGCCTCAAACTAAGAACTAAGAAGAGCACGTCCTCTTCATGTCTCCACACATGACTGCACGCTGCTCCTTTAACACTATACGCTCACGTTTCCAGCGCAAAGTTCCAGAAAATCATGTTCTCATCCGCTATGCTTCTGCAGATATTAGTTTTTATATTGATATATATTATTAGCCTTTTCTCATTGCACTTTGTCCAATCTGTGTCAGGAAAATTTAAAATGCGCATAAACATTGCTGGACAGAAATGAACTGAAACTGTGAAGTCAACAGTTTTTCGTGTCTTTACATTTTTAAATGTTTTTACTCGTGTCCTCTTTGGGTTGTTTTGCACTGAACAGCAGCAGGAATAGCTGTTAAAGTTGTCTAACTCATAGAGACTCTTAATAAACTCAATAATCATAATAAGCATACTAAGCATACTAAATGATGAACTACTGAGTCTACAACTCAGATTCATAATCAGAAGTATTGAGTGTGTGATGTTGAGAACAGGATTTGAGCTCCGTCGTGTTACATCTGTCCTCCCGTGTGTGTGTGTGTTTATCCTCAGACGGCGTCCTGGACCTCTCCACCAAGAAGAACCAGAGTGCAGGAAACCACAAAACCTTCCCCGGCTTCTCCCCAGAGCCTGGGGTCAAAGGGTAAGCCAACAGAATTAGTCAAACCGGCCTCCGTTAGCCGAGCGCCGCAGTCACGCGCCTAAAAACAACAAGCGGAGAGGTTAAAGCAACCGCGGCTGTTTTGTGCTTCTATACACTGCGCTTCCAGTACAAGAGCGCTGGTCGGGAGCGTGGAGACTCGGCCCGAGGGGATGATGCCACACTCTGATTCTGATTCTGATTGGTAATCCAGAGGCCAAACCAGAGGTCAAGCTGAGGAAGATTGATTTCACGAGACGATGACAACCGTCACTGGCAGATTTGATCGAGTTGTCGGATGAATGTGCAGATCTCCTGCATGTCCATGTAGCTATAATCCAGATTCAACAAAAGACGGCTCCCTACCTCGAGGGTTCCCGAGCCCTCGGTAAAGCTGGTGAACTTAATCCGAGATGTCTTTGTGTGCAACAAGACCCGGGTACACGGCGTAGGGCTGTCGCAGTAACTGCAACTGGCGATGAGCGTCTATTCAGCGCTAAGCGCGGCACGTTTACCCAGCTGTCCAATCACAATAGAGGAGGGGCGGGACGAATACCAACAAAGACCAACCGTCACATCCTAAATAGCAGGATACAAGTGCTGAACAACAACAGAACATAGACCGGTGGGTCCTTCCTCAAAGGCTTCAGCCTTCATTCAGAAGAAAACAGGTTTCCTTGTGCCGACATTTTGACTTTGTCAAATGTAAATCTACTTTTATTGGAACACATTGAACATAGCACAGCTCAAATTAAGCATCTGCATTTAGCCCATCCAAGTATTAGGAGCGCCTCGGAAGTACCAAGGAGGCGAACTGGCAGCTCTCCAGTCCGCACTCTGTACTTGGTCCGTGCGGGGACTTGAACCGCGATCCACCGGCTCCCCACGGACGGCGCTCCTGCCGTCCCTCTGCGAATATGACGTATCATAGTAACCAGATGCAACCAAAGCGTCTCTCAGCTGCCTTATCGTCCTTCTGTGTTCTGCATTTAACAAAAAAAAGTATTTAATACGTTTTAAAACTGTCAAAAGCAACTTTAGACCTAATTATAGCCTAACAATGAAGGTTTTCTATATAGCACTAAAATCAGGATAGATTAGGTAATTTTCAAAAAACAGAAAAAGGTAATAATATTGCATATCGCACTGTTTGAGCTCATCATTATCACTGCAGGGGAAACCCCTCCACCGGGACAGCCCTGACAGTGTTTTTGTTATTCAACCACAACACACGATCATGAATGAAGAAGCTCTGTGTGTGTGTGTGTGTGTGTGTGTGTGTGTGTGTGTGTGTGTGTGCTGCTTTCAAGTGCCGGTGAAGTGCTGTGACACCTGGCTCTTAGGTTGTAAAATACTGTTGCATACAAATATGGAAAAAAAGGGAAAAAACTGAAATCAAACAAGATCATATAAATAAAAAAATTGGCTGATCGATACTTTGGCTACCATCGATCCCGCAGCGGGGGTGTACCTGCTTCTGTACAGCTGTTTATAAAGCAGGCCCCTCCCTCAGCCACCCCTACGGCCTCAAGTGAGAGTTCAGTGGCAATATGTTTCAAACACAATTCGGAGGCTTTGATTGCTCCGTTTTTTTGTTCTTCGTCTCCGTGTTGGCGGACTTATCGACAATCCTCAGTGTTGCGGCCCGATCATTTATTGATGAATGTGGACTCTGCCTCGAAGTCGTGTTTGAATCGGTAGCCATCACACTCGCTTCTTGCATCACGTGGGGGTAAACGCTCGACGCTAATCGCGGCTGCCATTTCCAGCAATACTTTTGATCCGTAGGTCAAAGATGGATTAGTGGAGTTAGTGCGTGTATTACAGGTCACACACACCGGGTTAGTGCGTGTATTACAGGTCACACACACCGGGCTAGTGCGTGTATTACAGGTCACACACACCGGGTTAGTGCGTGTATTACAGGTCACACACACCGGGCTGGTGCGTGTATTACAGGTCACACACACCGGGCTAGTGCGTGTATTACAGGTCACACACACCGGGCTAGTGCGTGTATTACAGGTCACACACACCGGGCTAGTGTGTGTATTGCAGGATGAGACTACCTTCCTTTAAAAGACATTTTATCCTCAGAAGGCACACGCTGTTGTTTTGGATACACAGGTTCTGAAACAATCTTTCAATCCATCTCGCCGGGGATCCCCCTCTGTTGTGTGAATTCTTTGCATCCTTTTGTTTTCTACAAAATTCTGTTTCCACATTGAATCCTCAGCTCCACCGTGAGGAGTGCGGCGCAGCCTCCCCCGATGACTGTGTGCTTACTGTAACAGAACGCTCTATTAAGAGTGCAGACTCCAAAGCCTCTCGTTAACCCCGTATTGTCTTCGGCAAGCCAGAGGCCGCCCACTGTGGTAATCGGTCTGAAAGCTCCCGCTGAGGACTCCCCACATCGCACAGCCCGTCGTGCTGTAGCTACCACACTGTCTCCAATGGAGAAGACGCAGTGTTTCCCTCAAGGTCCTCCTCCCCAGTGCCATCCGTTGACTTGACAAGCTATTTCCTGCTATTATGAACCCGAGGGAGCATGTCTTTAAAGAGCATTTCCTCTGTTGCTATAGTTACTTAGCAGTGGGGAAATTTGCTGCAGCAGTTCAATTGGAGGCACTTTGCACGCAGGACGTGTGTTTCAACCATGATTTTCATTTTGGTTGCGTGTGTTCAGGCGTGAAGAGTTGAATCAGGAAGTGACGGTTTCTTTTGGGATTGTTATCCAGCACTCGACAATAAAGATTAGTCAGAAAAATACATTGTTTGTGTCGTAGCATTTCTTTTCTTCCTATTTCTTCACAGATTAACAACTTGGTTTGGAGTTTTTATTAAACTGAATTAAAGACGTGTTTTTATGTTATTACGGTAAAACCTGCGAGTAGAGCTAAGCAGTCACATACCACACATTACCGTTGCCTCGTGTCAGAAGTAACGACACATTGTAACTAGAACTCGTATTCTGCATGCATAAAGAGAAAGACTGGTGTGTAAGACATGTCTTGTTAGGTTTTACCAAGCAGGCCTATGCGTGCACTTACAGCTTTATGTATTTACTGGATATATGCTCAATTTAAGCAAGTCACAAAATACTGTACTTTCCCCATTTACCCCGAGTGGTATTTATGCAAATAGTTTTAGTTTTATTTGCAGAAGCTTTGAGATATCCACTGATTTGAGATTCCTGCCACCACTCTGAAACAAGGAAAATAGAGAAAACTTTATTCGTAAAACATTCAAAGATCACATTCAAAACTACAACACATCTTTCCAGAAACAGTGCAGACGTCTACAGATCTCCGTCAAATACAGGAACAAAAATAGTCACAAGTAGATAATGCAGGCTGTTGACAGTGAGCTCTGTGGTTTATCTTAAAATGTTGTTTCTGGCAAAAGACACTGCTGTTGAGTTCCTCAAATGTAAGTTATTAGTGTTTACGTGTTTACGATTTAGGTGGTAAAAAGTCAAACGATGAATAAATGAATTCCAAGCTACACATTAAAGATTGTAATCTTAAATTACAAAATGCGATATGCATCAAACCTTGGTCTCGACAATCAGTTTTATTTTATAACGACGTACCGGACACTGTTCCTAAACTGTCCTCCTGTTTTTCCTCCCTTCAGACATTCTATCAAAGTGGAACATACCCTGCCAGAGGTGGACGAAGACGGCCTGCTGCAGGGAAGCTTGCAGGATGGACTTGGGGAGAACTACGTCAACTCCAACTCCTTCAAGCCGCCATTGGCCCGCTCGCTGCGTATCAAGGAAGAGCTCCTGAGCCAGAAGCATCGTCTCCTGAGCCAGCCTGCTGCTCTTTCATTGTCTAATCTAGAGTCAGCCGGCTTGCTCAATCATGTGCAGTCCTACGCCTTGCTTGGCCAGAAGGGCTCTTCCTCTTTCTGGGGAAGCAAGGCCCACCTCGAAAGCCTGATGAAGCTAAAGCAGGCCAGTGGAGCTCTGAGCGGGGCCCTCAGTGACCTCAAAGACCTACCTACATTCCTGGAAAATCACCACAACCACCACGGAGCCTTCTCCTTCAAAAGTTCCCTCCACCATCACCACCACAATCAGGTCTCTAAGGCCCAACACCACCACAATGAGGGCAAGAGGGACCAGGGTCACTCGCCACCTGTCGACCTAAAGATCCCCCAAGTTCGGGGCATGGATCTCTCCTGGGACCATGCTTCTGAGCTGTATGGCTATGGCCCCATGGGGGTCGGGGGTGGTGGCCATGGGGAGAACATCCTTAACCGGAAGCTGAGAGCCATCCTGCCCAAGCAGAACCGCCGGGGAGGAAGCCTTGGAAGCCTGCTGGATGGGGCAGCGGACTACTGGAGCTCTGACTTGGACCACTCCAGTTCCGGGCCAGCGTACTCCACCTCCGACGCGGAAGGGGACCCAAACTCCAAGCAGCCGAGGAAGAAGCGGGGCCGTTATCGCCAGTACAACACCGAGATCCTGGAGGAGGCCATAACGGTCGTGATGAGCGGGAAGATGAGTGTGTCCAAGGCTCAGAACATGTACGGGATCCCGCACAGCACCCTGGAGTACAAGGTCAAGGAGCGCCTGGGAACCCTGAAGAACCCCCCAAAGAAGAAGCTCAAGCTGATGATGAAGATGGAAGCAGGAGGCCAGGATTTTCCTCTCGCAGAGTCAGAGAACACGCCCACCGGAACCCCAGGAGACGACGACGGCGGCCCGCCACTGGCAGCCGCTGAGCTCAAGGACAATGTAAAAGAAGAGATCGATGACAATTTCAAACCAATCGACTAAACGACTAAACACATGTAAACCTCAGTCAAATGACTTAAGTGATTTGAAAACGGATGGGGCTTTATTTGTGCCAATTTACTTTGCAGTATCTGGGTGAGCACAAACGCAGGGATAACATAAGGAGGATTCTTAAAACACACTGGAGGTAAACAACTAAACGGATGGTTTTTAAACAAGTGATGCCGTTTAAGCATTTGTTTAGCTTTTATAGCCAGGGGCTTGACAAACGCAGCTAAAGACATTCGTTAAATGACAATTAATGAAATTCCCATAAGCATGCTAATAATCCCCAGCCCCAAAACCCAATCCCCCTCTTTTCTGAACTTGATACACTGAACCATTGCTGCTTATAAATGCAGTTTTGGGCTTTGGACCATTCCAATTTGGGGAAACAAATGAGGGGAAGATTGAAAATTAACTCCTTAAAAAAAAAAAACAAATTAGTCCCTTTACTGCTCCCCTCTCTCACAAAGTACTCGCTGAAGATTGGTAAATGAACTGTCTATTACATTTGAAGCCAACTGTACGGTTTAATCACACCATTGGTATTCCTCACCGGGGTTGTGAATCAAAGCCCATTCTCTTATTGCCAGGTAGCCATGACGCTTTAACTGCAAACCTTTCTTTCCTCCTTAAGAAATTCTGTTAATTTCTGTGTGGACGAAGGCAACATTGACCCGTCCTTTTTGAATGCGAGAAGACACACAAGTCATTCAGGGATGCATGTTTGTGAGTTTCGTGGACACTACTGAATTCTATAATTGACTTCTTTTACTCTGTCTTTTATCCTTTCGTTTGATTTGCTTTCTTTTGCACTACACTTTGGCTCTGGCGCTTACAGACCAGGTTACCTCGGCATTGTTGCCCTTGCATCATGCACTTATTATGGTCTGTCTCTGAAGCCCAGTCGCAACCTCGTAACAGGTCGGAGGTGCACATCGCCTGCGTACGCTGATCCATAATCAGATCCAAGAGATTTGCCAAGAGACAAGTTTAGGTTTAATCTGATTGTGGATCGGCTGTTTTTAAGGCGGAATGCTACCTCATGGACCTCCATCAGTGTCTCACTGCTGATCCTGGAAAGCTGAAGTCGCCTTCAGGTTGCCCTCCAAACGGTGACCAAAGTGAGCTCATCCCCTTTATGGAAATCTTTACTGGATGAAGGCCTTTTAGGATCAGAATGTGAAACTCTGCTGCTATCCAGTTGATTGCCTAGCTCCTGTACAAGGCTTTAGCTAGCCTACGCTAATGGGTTTTAGCTAACAACAACACATTGCTGATGGTTTTTTTTGTTTTTTCTTCCTTTAAAAAATAGAAATCGAACTAAGCGGCTTAGCTGAAGAGTTTTAAAATAAATTATTCTCCCTCAAACCTCAAAGACAGTTTTAACGGCAGTTTATTACAACAATGTGCATTTATAGAGGGGTTTGGGGATGGGGGAGGGCAATATGCAGTGGGGAGGGGTACTTAATAGAAACGAGGGAAAAGCAGATTTAAGATATTGTAAATTATTACGACCGATGATTTAAAAGCCAATCCGTGATTCTGGATGATTTCTTTTCTCATTTTTAACTCAGGGTTACTGAGACGGATGATGTGGGTTTTTAAATATGGTAATTTCCTGTTGGACCTATAGTAGACAGACAGGAGGACAAGCCACGCCTCTCACTAATTCTTTGTCGAGGGGAGGGGCCATGTGAGTCAATATGGCAGCGCCATAGTAGATAGACCTGCTAATGAATCACGACAAAGGACAGACAGACGTTGGGTTTGGGACTCGAACTCATGGCGCTAAACTTCTACGATGGCACTTTTCAAAAGTCAGCAAAAACACAAGAGAGGAAGAGAATCTGTTTGACGGTTATGCATGTAGTGTAGCTCTTCGCTGGGTGACGGATCAGAGAGCGATCAGGAGGGCAGAGAGATGGAAGAAATAAAAGCTTTAGTGTGTGAAGACTTTCAAACGGCTGCAGCTCGGGACCCAAACAACTCTTTTGATTTCCTCTCGATTACCTCCAAGATTTAAAACGGGAAAAAAAAAAGGTGAAAAGAAACGGTCGACGGCTTGAACAAGTTGAGTTTTGTGTAGTGTCGTCTCGGTGTGTCCCCTCCGCTCGCCACTGAAGCACCGGGAATAGAAAAGAATATCCCTCTCAAGACACAGGTGGACAGAAAAAGGAAAAGCTCTTTTGGTATTTTCCACGAGGGAAAGACTGAAGACGTCAAAAGCTTTTTGGTTGTCATGTTTTTGTGCTCTGGGGTAAATGTTGCTCTTCGCTCCCAACACTGCCTGGTGCTCACCCGGCCTGTGAGAATTGTACCTCTCTGTTCAGATGAAATGATGACGATGATTCACTCCTTTATGAAATGTATTGTATATTTTATTTATTTGATTTGTTTTCTTGGATTATTCTTTTTAAAGAAAATGGCATGCACCACTTTTTTTGGCTGAATTTTGGGGTCGAGTTAATTGAATATTGTTAATCACTATGTTGAGACGATTTCAACGCAATCTCACACTCATTCTAAATTATGAATGAAACACAATCTAATTAGAATTAGAATGATTTATTACCTGTTGCACACAATCTTAATTCCCCCTCTGTGGTTATTGGTTATCCACGTTAAGCTCTGTAGCTCCCTTGGCCTGATTGACAGGTGTGCATGGCCAACGGGAAGAGCTCCAGAAAGGACCCCCGGGACAGCTACATGCCCCGGGGATCGTCATGCATGAAATGCGTCCAACACTTTGACAATGCTGAGCATTTAGAAGTGTCTAAAAGGTTGTTGTGCGAGTTGAGTCTGACCCAGCGAAGGACAACGCACTGATCTGAGTAAAGCACTTGTTATGAACTCTTGTATAGTAGCTGCTCACTTAGCCGGCTGTGAATACCGTTTGACAAAAAACGTGGCGTACAATGTGCCCCTTCCCAAAAGCCACTTAATAAAAATACACGTGTAGAAATGGTGTAATTGGCACTTAATGCACAGGTTTGTATGGATGAACTCCAACAGCACTTAGACAGAATTCCCCTAAGAGGGGAGATTCCTCCGTCCTTCAAGAAACTGTTGATCCTTACTTAACGTTTGGCTTTTTGCTATAAATGTGCCAATGCTTTCTAAAAATGTGGGTCATTTAAAAAAAGTCCCATTTCCAGCCTGCCCTTACCTGCTGAGGTGCATGCCATTTAAAGGTGTATTTATTTCATTTCATTTGGTTTCTTTGTATTGTTTATAGTCATGTGGTTAACGGCTCCCCCTGTCCGAAAAAGTCCTCCTTCTTGCAACTGATTCTCACTGCTGTTTAAAAAAAAAAGAAAAACTCATATTATATACTTAAGAGAACAGTATATATCTATTTATATACATATATATTGACAAAATACTCACATAATGAATGTAGTGAACTGAAATGAATATCTCAAAAACGTACAAAACCAGAACAGCCGTCTGCACAAGAGACGGCACCGTCGGTTCATTCTCAACAGACTGTTGTTTTTATTCGTTTTTTGCTTTTTTTACGTTTCACTTTTACGCTGCTTGCATTGGAGATGCAGTCCTTTTCTGACGCGGGCGTGCGACCGTAGCCTTCAGTACTGTAAATGTCTCAGGATCGAGCCAACGGGATGGGCAGCAATATTTGTCAGTCGGAAAATGGCGCAGACTTAACTACCTGTACTAGATGTAATTTATAATCGTGTGTGTGTGTGTGTGTGTGTGTATATATATATATATATATATATATACACACACACACACACATACATATACTATATGTCGACTTGGCCATCAGAGACCGAGTGCTATACCTCAATCTCAGAATAATGACTCCTTTCTGTGCCTCGTACTTGTATGTATACCTTACCTGGGAGCCTGGCGAAGGGATAGCCGATACTCTGGGAAATATAGTATCCTCCGCTGTTTCTTTTATTTTATTATCTGTTTTTTCTTTTCTTTGTTTCGCCTCCCTCTTGCGAAGGGAGGAGGGAGACGCTTCAAGTGTCTGACTGACCAATATTTGCCACCCTACCTCCTTTCAGGTTTTTCAGGCAACAAAACCTTATAGAAATATACAGAGAGCAGCAGATCGAGAGAGAGGGAAGACAACAGGGACGCTACAGCTATTCCGGTTCTTAGCACTGGACGGGGTTGGTATGGGAAGGCTGCAAACCTCTCATGTCTTCCTCTGAAAGTTCAAACATTTTGGGATTCAGTCGTCTGGTTTCACCCTGGAGGCGCTCAGTCAGGGCGGTCCCACCCTGGTCTGAGAAAGGTATTTTTGTTCACCGAGGTGTTTTTTTGTTTTCTTTCATGGTTTATTGTGTGTTTGTAGGTGAAATATAACTCCAGGTTGAAACTTGAGAGGGCTTTTTTTTATTTTTTTATTTCTCACACTCAGAGAAATCAGAGACCCAGAGGGGCGATTGGGGGACAGGTGGACAAGTTAACCTTCCTTCATCTGCTGTTTTGTAAAAGAAAAATATATCCAAAATCTTTTGCATTCCAAAAAAACGCCACCACAAACAGGAAAATGTACCTTTATATGATGAAAATGAAAAGAGGCTATATACTTATGAATATACAGGTATTTATTTTACTGTTTTCTTGCGTCTTCAGGTAAGCCGATCGATTTCTCTCTTTTGCTTTTCAGGTTGGTTTCAATTTCATTTATTTTCGTTCTTTTTTTTTTTTTTTTTCTGAGTGAAAGAAAAGAAAAATGTCGAACAACAACTACTGTAACCTCACTTAGTAGACGCCACATGACGCGCCGTTTTGTTTCGGGACGGCGTGTCGTGCTGAGCGCTACCGGGAAAGAAAGACCCACAATGTATATGATTGCCATGCTCCTCTCTGCCGAGAGCTTTGTTCCGTTTCTTTTTCTGTCACGCTGCATATCCGGTTGTCATTTATACCTCAGGTCCGACCACTTCAAAGCAGCTGATTGTACATGAGAAGCACGCTCACACACACACACACACACACACACACACACACAAAGAAGAATCAGGATTTTTAGTACGGCTCGTTTCCAGATTTTTAGACGTAAACCGACGGAAGCAGTTTTTGAATAATCGTCGTTTCTTGTCATTCGTACTGTTATTCTGATGGAATATTATTTTCCTTTATTTGTTTTCTTATATATATATATAAAAAAAAAAAGAAAAGGCAAATTGTTTAAAAGCCAGAAGCCAGGTTTCTGTGAATACAGACGCTGTATTCTCTCGAGCACACACAGCCGTGGAAGAGCAGAGCGCACACACAAGAGACACGAGGCACCCACAGCAACACACTCCCTCCCTCCTCATCAGGTAGCCACACTTTGTGTGGGCGGGTTTTACGTATAATTATGAAGCTGGGAGTCTGCCGGTTCTCTTTTAGAAGCAGGTGGGGGTGTTTTGTACACACGGCCTGCAGAACATCAGCGCTGCCGGCTGAGTTCTTGATCTGGCTCGCTGGGACACTGCAGGCACTGCCTCTGTGAAAACCACTTTGTGTTGTTTGTTGCTTTTAACAACACGCTGCTTTTTATTGTAAATCAATCTACAAATTGTTCTCGTTCAAGGAAAGACAAATCCATCCTTCAGCTGTACGGTTCTATGTTAGCAGTCTGTGATGGTGTGTGCATTCCTGCAGTTATTCTGTTGACACTTGTCGTTAAGGCTTCTGTGTATTTGAGCTACCAGTGTGGGGGGGGGGGGCTAAACATCGACGCCCGGGATGTTTTGTCTGGCTGCTAAAAAGCACAAACATTTGAAAGAGAGTGCAGTAATGTGTATCTGAGCAGAGAAAAGTCGCTTCCCTCTGTGTGCATTACCAGAGCGTGTGCCGTTAGTGCACGTGAGCGTGCCCCACTGGTTAGCTCTCATGCGGAGGCTACAGCTGATAACACCGCCCCGACCGTGTAGCTCCCACCCTGCGGTTGCCCCTCGGGTCAACACGTTCAAAGCTCTGTCAGCGCTGTTACCATACTTTGCGCTGTTTGCACTGTTAGCTATGAGCTGCCAGCTCAGGCGTCGCCGTGTTGAGAGCCGCTGAGAGGCGATCGCAATGCTCCCCTCTAATCTCTTATGAAACCTAACGGGTTTACAGTTTATCTAGTTCGAAGGATAAAGATTAAAGATTCTACAGATAAGAAAAAGTGAGCGTTGCTCCCATGTGGTGTCTTGCGGCTGCATTGCATGCTGGTCCAATTGAATTGTCCACCTTGGGTACAAAATGACATGAAAAGCTACAAAATAGATGCAGGAATGCAAAGAACATCACCAGAAGCTAAATATGTTGGGTCTGGTTCGCAGTCCAGTAAATAGTCCAGAACTTGGATCTCTTTCTGAGAAACTACCCGTCGTACTTTTGGATGGATTTTTCTTTTAACTGCATATTCAAGAAGTCTCTCTCTCTCTCTCTCTCTCTCTTGCAACAAGATCCACTCTCTGAGTGCAGTTTAAAAAGATAATAATCAGCACATCTACTGACAGTTACACTTTACCTTGCGTGTCATAAGCTCCGCCATGATGGTGTTGTTATTCCCCCCAGACATTTGTCAAAGCGGCGCTAACAGATCTGAGCAAATGTGCATCTCGTTTGTCGCTGGGGTGCGACGCCGAGTGCTGTAAATGTCAAAGCATTTGTGGAGATGTGACAACCAGTCGCTCGGCAGCAGCAGCCTGGTTTTGAAAGCAGAGATAAGTACGAAACTCTTTAAGGCCAGACACGCTTCTGGAACGACGCTCTTCAGCAGCGATCAACGCGACAGACACCTTCCCTCCGTTCAAATTCACTACGCAGGAAATTTGGGGGGAAAAATGGAAATGCTGGAGTGTAACAATTTGAGTCTAAAGATAGAAGTCTTCATGTTAAATCACTACACATGTAAGAGAGTGTTACCGTATCAGGATATTGACAGCTACACCTTGAATTCACCGTCTAATACTAAGTACATCTTTTAGAAAAGCGTGCGCTTTAAAAAATAAGTATTGTCATGGGGCTGAATGTTTTCAAAGTGCACTCTTTTAATTGCCTGCTTTCTCTACTTTCACATTATTCAGAGCTGTTGATTTCTAAATTCCCAACCTGGCTCATTAATCTTCTCCACGAAACCAACGCGCTCAATCCGATGATGTTGCCAGGATTAAGGGATTATATGTTTGCTGTTCTTTAATCAGTGGACTCGAGGGTGCCTTTTGAAGACTCTAATCACGATCTCAAATCATTTAAGGGTCGGTTTAAGGGTCAAATTAGTCGGCTTAAATTCCGTTGATTACGTTGCTTCGTGAGCGGCTCGCAGCAGACATTTTCTCTCTCACTCTGGCTGTTTCTCGCCTCCGACGAGCCCGCGGTGCTGGCGAGCGTCTCGCCTTCTCCGACCCCGGCAGAAAGCCTCCCTGCAGATGGCAGTGAGACAGAAGTGGCATTCTGAGGAGGTGGACGGGAGTGAAATCTAAGTGAAGCGCGGCAGAATAAAGGCTGCTGAAGGTCGCCATCCCCACCCCCACGCCGCGCTTAAACAACGGGCTTTTACCGGAACGACGCTGAAATTCACTTCACAAACCAACGGTATACTTTCACGTCTGCGGTTGAAATAAATAAATAAAAAAAGGTGCCGCGGTCGCTCAGAAACCTCACTTAAGAGAGGAAAGAGGATTATTAGGGACAAAATATAGCACCCCATCAGGTAATTTAGAAAAATAAAAGCCACGGCTGTGTGGAGGAAATCTGGCCAGAAACGCTCTGCGATAGACCGCATTGCATTTCACGAGGTGCCCTTGTGTGTTGCCTTGACATTCTTGCAGCATTGCTCCCATGTGGAGGTGTGTCTGGCCCTGTAGAGCTACCTACGTGGAGTCAAATCCAACTCTGCAAATCTCTGGTTTATCTCTTAACGTGCAGGCTTCGGGTTGAGTTTGGGGGGAATTCGATTTGTGGCTTCTGACGCTGATTCTTAGGGCTTTGTCAGAAGACGTGATTAAAGAAAACATTTGTCCAACACCGGCGAACAGATATTTACCACAGGAGGTCCGTTATCCTCTTCTCGTGTCCTTGTTCCCTTCTTTACACTTCCAGCCAGACTCTCTCTTTGTCCCGCTCTCATTCGTGTCCATGCGAGAGCATCGAAGAGCACGTTTGTCCTCCTCGGTGGTTTCTGCTACCTCAGTTCGTCACGTAGGGATCTTTTCAGGATTCCAACTGCTTCAGGAGTGGATCGGTTAGTTTGAAAACTAAAGTAGAGTCTGTTGTTGCCAGTGAAGTAGCCATTACAGGCATTTCACATGCATTTCTAGACCTTGTAAACTTCCGAGGTCAGGTTCGAAAAAAGGGTTTTTGATGAAAGTTAAGCCCTCAGAGAGTGAGCGGGATGATTTGTCAGGCCTCCCACTGGCCTCAGTGTCCTCTGATTGTTCGCCGACCACAGCAATCTGCTCGTCTTGTTATTCCTCCTCAGAAATGTGTCAGATCTTGATTGTCCCGTCACTCAGAAGTGTGAAGTTTCTGCGCCGTGATGCTGCTGCAGCGCCGTCGGTGGGCCGAGTAGAGGCCACGCGTCCTCCTGCCACACCTCTGTTAAATGTTGATTTTATTGTCATTTTCTTTGATGAAAAGTCATAACCCCCCCCCCCCCCCCTTCCTTCCTCTCCCTTTCACCTTCGCGCCCCAACTAGTGTCATCCTCTCAGCATCCAGTGGAGCGTGAGCACCTTGGGGCTGACAGGCCCTCGTTTATCCCAGGAGAGATGGGGTGTTCCTGGGCAGCCCCGGGTCCTTCACCTCTCATCAGGCCTTTCTCTAAACCTCACTGTCGCCTCTTGGGATTGTACACTCGACCCAGAGGCCCCTGAACACGGTCTTCCCCCGTCTCTTCTCTTTTCACAGAGGCTTTGCCACGCTCTCCTCTGATGAGGAACTTTGCCGATGTAGATTTATTTTAAATCAGGAAGTTGATGAAGTCGTTATTTCAGCAACAAGGGGGGGGACGTAATCTTCTGCAATATTGGAAAAAACACACACTAACGCACAACATACATGCAGTATATGTTTGGCGGTCGGTTAATATTTCAGCCTTGGTGAACTCTCTCCACTAAAGAGACTCGATGTTTTAAAGGTGTGGCCGTTAGTGTTGTATGAAGTCTCTGATTTCGCTTTGATGTTTCAGGGTAACAGGCTCGAGCTTGACTTTTAGTTTCTGTGTTTAAAAAACCAAGAACAAAAAAATAAGTGTCTAATGAGCGGGGGGGGGGGGCTTTTGTTGAAGTTGCCAGTGCATTGCCGTGATCCTCTTGTAGCTTCTCTTTGCAGTCTTTCGAGTGATGGCGTCCTCTACGTGTTGATCTTTTGGCGTCTTTGACAGCCGCGTACCTCCTCCTGTCAGTGGCGAAGTCTACGCCTCGTGCAGACAGAACCACAGCGGTGTATTTATAGTCGAGCCGAGGAGCAGCGCTGGCTCGTGGGCACGATCGATAGTCGGCTCAGACAGACCGGCGCTCGATGAGCGGATCTCAAGAGTTCAGTCCTCAGCCGGGAAGTTTGGCAGTATAGGGAAGATTAAAACAGCCAAAACTATTCACCAACTCTCTCACGGAACACCTCGAACTCATCTGCTGCGAGTTGACCCATGAGAGCCAGAACAACATCACCTAAAAGGCTCTTTGAAAAGCCTTTTCTGTACATTATTTTCAGCCAAATACTTTTTTCAGTGCTTTATTAAAAAAACAGCGAGGATTGTAAATATGACTAACTCTTAGCAGCGGAGGCTCGTGCAGAGCTCGCTTAACGCTCCACCTCGTTGGTCCTCTGGAGATCCAACTCAACACTGTCTCCTTCCCGAATGTCATAAATTTAGGAAAGCTGCTCGCGGAAACAACAGAAAAGCGAGCGTTGAAAGCACCGCCGAGTGTTTGCTCTTTCTTTCGGTCTTTGATAATGTATTTCCATCTTTGGTGTTTCTTGGTGTGCAAAAATGTAAAGAAGAAGAAAAAAAAGAAAAACTTACAACACAGAATACCTCAGAAAAGATATCCATGTAACCTTGACAGCCTCCACATATTGTCAGATCCCGACCGTCGACACATCTCCCGTCTTCGTTTCCCCTCTTGCTTCTTTTGCCATGCAGTGCGTAGCGCAGTGGGGGGGAGGTTTGTTCCCACTTTGGTTTCACAACCTCATGCGTGTCCTTTCTTTGTCAGCGGTCTTGGTCTCAAACCTTTCACAGCCCACCTCCCCGTTCCTCTTTCAAGGACGGTTGTTTTTCGAGACGATTTGACGGATCGCAAAAGTTCAGAAAGATCCACCGAAGAGACTCTTTTTCAAAAGATGGGGTTGGATTAAAAGAAAGAAGAAATCCTCCCTCCGTTTGGTTCTTTATAAAGTGGGTTTGCAGAAAGAAAGAAGGCCGCACAGTCCCCATGTTGTTCCTTTTCCATGCCTCTTTATCTACGTATCTCTTTATCTTTAACAACTGAATGTAAAAAAGAAAGAAAAAGGCAAACACAACTAACCTCTAATTTAACTATACATATTTAAGAATAAGAAATACTCTATATGTGCACATAGATATACCTATACAAGCCCAAACCGACAAACACAAATGCATATGTATATACACAGATCTCTAATGTCGTATACTATCTTGAGAAAGGAAGAGGATGAGCCTTTTCCATCGATGATTCAGGGAAACCATTGAGAAGTCCAGTGCAGTGCGTTAGTGGAATCACTCCGTCGCTTCTAGTGTTCGTCTTCTGACTCTGTTCTTACTCGTTATTTCCCCCCCGTGATGTAGCAGAGGGCGAGGGGGCAGTGGAGACTTTTTTTTGTTAACCGAAGAAGTAGTGGAACTAGGATGTAGTGTGGTTGTAGTCTATTTGAGCCCGATTCTGTGGAAAGGTGGTGGTGGTGGTGGTGGGGGGAGGGCTGTTGTTTTGTTCCTTTTCTAAAGTGGACGCTGTAAAGACAGTATATTTATGAAGATGACCCGGATGTGAGTCACATGGGGGGGGTCTTCAGGTTAGTTGTATATAGCACTGCTTCACCCTTCAGCCCTCGGCTGTCTTTTTCACAGGCGAGGTGGAACTGTATATTGAAGGCACTGATGAGGAACTGTTTGAGTGTTTTTAAGTCGAGAAAAGTGAAGACTGTTTTAAATGAAGGAACGTGGGGGGGGGGGGGGGGTGATCCTGTTTGGGTTCCCTACAGAACCCGGCAGACAGCGACGTCGTTAGAGAACGCATCTCCCTCGAGCTTTGCTGGGACTGACGGACGTTTTTTTTGTCAGCGTTGAGCCTCAATATTTTTGCATGCTGGTGTACAGAGCCCCGTATCAGCCCTCTTGTTGCAAGAGGCTGGTTAATACAAAAGTGTTCTTTGGATGTTGTCCGCAGGACAGATGCTGATGTTTTGAATATGAAATGCCCCTAAAAAAAAAAAAAAAAAAAAAAAAAGACTAAAAAAACTTCCCTTTCCTAAGAAGGAGCACCGAATGTGTTTGTTTGTCACTGCGACAGCTTTTCGTGGTGTTTTTTTGGCTAAAGCTCTTTTTCAATGGTTTGTTTTTCCTTGTATAAAGTAACAAAACCGAGTACGTATGAGTGTGGATCCGTGTGGCTGTGTAAGAAACCATGTGACGAGCTCGCTCTTTTTTCGATTTAGCTTTTTTTCTTCAACCATATTCTAGTCCCAGAGCAGTTTTCCTTTTAGGAACATGAATCTAGCTGTGCTCTGATGGTAACTCGATGGATCAGTGTACAAGTTTGAAGAACTTACAGCCCCAACAGTACATCTCACACACACACACACACACACACACACACACACACACCCTCAGGGACCCTCGACAACACTGCTCTCACTCTTATTCAGGTACTTAATCTACAGCGAGTTTTAGCAGTGACCAACCTCAACTATGGTGTGTTTCCATGCGCCTGTTCCTATGTAGACAAGAGAAAAGTCACACCCAAAATCTTAAATGATCAGAAGAAGTTTTATTTCTCACCCTCAGAGTTTTGCTATATTTTCAGCATCTTATGAATGTCAGTCTTCGTCTGGGTTCAGGACGGCCGGGTCTTTGTGAACGCTCCGTTCTCTCTCCGACTCGCGTCGGGGAGCCGTGTGCCGAGCATCGACAGGCATCGTGTGGCTACAAAGCACCGAACGTAACGACGACGTAAACCGAGCTAACCTCAACAAATGTTTCCTACAAGTGCACAAAACGGTGGTTTGGCTTTTGAAATGGTGTTATTTTTGAAAGCCTCCACAAGCCCTCACACAGTATCCGTCTGGTTTAAGTGCTGAGTCCTCTCTCTTACACACACAACACAGAGGAAATGTGACGGATCTGCCTTTAGTTATTCTTACGCTTCAGGGAAAACTTAGTAAGCCTCTCTCAAGGACCAGGAAACACGTCGGCGCTCAGCCGGACGTCGTGCGGTCGGACCTGTAGAGCTGAGGAGGAAGAGGAAGAGAAAGATCTGCCTTTCAGTCTTCATCGTTTCTCGCTCGTTCTTTGACTCTTTAAGTCGGCCGCTCTTCTCTGCTGCGATTGGTTGAAAACCTCTGCAGTCTGTTGCTCAGTGTCAGTGTTGGAAGTCTGTAGACTTCAGAGGGTATTTCACGAAGAACCGGTCACCGTTATTTATTGTACCTCTAAAAGATAAGTTGTATTTCATGTTGTAAGAACTCTTAAGATTACTTTTTACATTCCTGCTGTTGGTTCTTGGTCGTGACCTGATTCTGTTGTGATAGCTCTGATTGGGTTGGCAATGGCTCGTGGTATTTGGGTAGATGCAGGAGTTGTTGTCCAGGGGTTTGGACTACAGACCTCTCCTTTTACTTCGGTCTTGGTTTTTGTCCTGCTGAGGTTCCTTAACGTCTCGTGATCTCACCTCGGCTCTTAACGGGGGGCTGGGCGCCCCGCTGCGGTGCCCCGCTGGGCTTTTATTCCTCTTCTCCGCAGAGATTTTGTTTTCGGGTTTGACGATATACCTCATTCCTTCAGTCCAGCGGGCCCTAGTGGGGGGGTGTGGGATGGGGGCTGTGCCGATGCTCGGGACGCCCCCCAAGCCCCCCTTTTCACGATGTGGTCCCAGCTGGACTGTACCTCTCACAAAACGCATATAAACACGCATACACTGACACACAGGTTCTCCAAATACCCCGAATGGACCTCATTTTTCAATATCTACTGTTTACAGTTTGACAAAACAATTGTATAATTTAAAAAAAATATTTTTCTCATATTGTAGTTTTATTTATGTACAATATTTTTTTTTTGTTGTTCTTATTTTGTACCTTGTGCGTTGGACGTTTATTCTTCTAGGCTTATATTATCGATGTCCGTGTAAATGAGCACTTAACGAGGATCACAATAACTGGATTGAGTTTGATTGACTGATTTGATTTTTCTCTTTGAATGCTGAATCCGATATTCTGATTGGGCTGATGAATAATAAATTGTCTCATAACGTCCGATTTCTTTTGACAAAAAGATGATGATTTGATTTCCTACTGTTTTGTTTTTTTTAAACTTCCTTTTGCATTGAACGTCACGCGACGCTGATTAGATCTGTCTTTGTGCATGTGTAAAATATTTTACTGGTTATGTTATATTCAATTTGGTAGAAAAGAAAATTGCCATTTTTGCCACACATCTCAGCTGTAACGTTGTGTACGGTAGTGTTCACTGGATGCTAGAACCTTCTTTTCAAAACCACTATTCTTCTAATAAATTTTGTTGTGAAAATAAAACGTGTCGCCGGTGTTATTGTGTCGAGGATGTGAAAGTTATGTCTGTGTGTGTGCGTGTGTGTGTGCGTGTGTGTGAGAGACGGACACACATGTAGTCCTCCATTCCTGACTGACCTCTGACCCCCCCCCCGGGTTAACAGCCTGAATAAGCAAAAGGTCTTCAAAGGTTAAGTCCCGCCCCTCTGAGGGAACAGCCAGGAAGTATCCCATGTACTCAAACATTCACGCCTTTAAAGAAATTAAACAGGTAACAATTTCCTCTCTAATATCGATTTTATTTTACTGTAAAAACATTTTTTTTCTGGATTTAACTTTCTCGTCAAAAACAAATCTCTCTCTCTCTCTCTCTCTCTCTCTCTCTCTCTCTCTCTCTCTCT